CTGGGAATTGTTTCCAGAGATAAAATGATCGGTTTGGTTTGACTTCAGTTAACCACAGTGGGTGGGACCACTCATTGCGGCTTGTAAATCAGAATATATGGCTCACTTGTTAAATCTGCCCCAGGATTTCAAGATATCCGGATGAACAAGAAACTTTATGACTTTATACAGCCCCCATGGGAAACATTTCCCTTTTTTTTATAGTTTAGATTGAAAGATTTTTACATAGGTAATAAGACGTACATTCCGAGAAAAAGGTACGGTAAACGTGAAAGAGAAAAGAAAGGGAAAAAAGGAAACCGAAAAGGGGGGGGGGAGAGAGAAAAAATAACAGAAGAGAAAAAAACCAGGAAAAGAAATATAAAAAAACAGCTTCTCTCAGGAATTTTAAACACAATAATAATCAAACTTTCCTCTCTAAGATCACATCAGGACTGCCTCCTTTCTAAGCATCCGAACCGCAACTCACAAAACCGCAAAAAAACCCAACCCATTTCTCAAGCTCCAAATATGAACTTCGGTTCATGGATGTGGGAGACAAATTTTTGTCTAGACTTGTTCTGATCAAGGGGTGGGGGAAGGGAAAAAATCCTTCATTTCCCAGTTAGATTTCCCAGTTTATTATCCCACAGTCTGGACAATTTATTGAGATTCATCCTTCTGCTAGCATTGGGGTTCACGTGTGTGTATGTGTGTGTATTTCCCCCTCTCTTTTCAGTATCTTGTTACTTGGCATACCATCGATGCCGATGCTCCGGAGCTGAGCCACATCCTGTGCTGGACCCCTACCGACCCACCGACAGGCCTCTCGTATTTCTCCAGCATGTACCCTCCTCATCCTTTGACCGCTCAGTATGGGGTGAAAGTGCTTCGATCTTTCCCTCCAGTAAGTAAGACGTTTACTGGAAGGATCTTAGAACCTCTTTGTGCTAAAGTTCTGTAGATCCTGGGCTCCTCAGTGAGCCCTCTGCATTTTTCCCAACTTCAGTTTTGGTCTCTACGAGGTCAAAAAAGATGTTGAGACTCTGGAAAGAGTGCAGAGAAGAGCAACACAGATGATTTAGGGGACTGGAGGCTAAAACAGATGAGGAACGGTTGCTGGAATGGTGTATGCCTAGTTTAGAGATGACTAGGGGTGACACGACAGTAATATTTCGTTATTTGAGGGGCTGCCACAAAGAGGAGGGGGTCAACCTGTTCTCCAAAGCACTTGAAGGAAGGCAGGACAAGAAGCAACAGATGGAAACTACTTAAGGAGAGAAGCAAGCTGGAATTAAGGAGAAAGTTCCTAACAGTGAGGACAATTAACTAGTGGAACAGCTTGCCTCCAGAAGTTGTGGGTTTTCCATCACTGGAGGTTTTTAAGAAGAGAGGGGACAGCCACTTGTCTGGAATGGTCTAGGCCAGGGTCTCCTGCTTGAGCAGGGAGCTGGACTAGAAGACCTCCAAGGTCCCTTCCAGCTCTGTTCTATTCTGCTCTATTCTATTCTATTCTGCTCTATTCTATTC